GTACCCATTACTGAAGTTAGTAATGTACGACATAATACCTAATGCAACTTCTAATCTTGTATAGTGCCAGAGGTGTTTCAAACCTAGTTAGGCCAATCCTTTATCACAGATCTTTACCATATTCACCACATTACCCATTATTCCAGTTTTGTTACAATTAGTATTACTCTCCCAATCAAGATCCCCAGACTGCCTAGGGGTTGTTGGTGCTATCCTGCCAATTGTGAATTTACATGCGCAACCTACTTTGCTCCAAAATCTTCTGCAATGATGCCCATTGCATATAATGCCAACTCTCTATGGCTAGATCTCCTTCCGGGAATTTCTATTCTAGATTCGTACTTCACTTGGACTTCTATAGGGCTCCGTGTTTAATTTTTTGGCTCCTTTAGGTTACAGAGTATTTTTTTGCCTCTAGCCTGACTCGAACTGTGGACCTTGACTTAACTTCCATAAGGGTTTGGCAACTTAACCAATAAGCTATAGAGCCCAAACCCTTGGTCTACATGTTTAAATCAATAATTCAAGACATAAATACTTATTTAAGATTTTTTTATGAAGTTATATATTTATCAATTTATTTAATTTGTATTTTTTTGGTGCTATAGTAGTTATTATATTTATTTTAGCTATTAATAGAGAACATCAATTTTTTTTTGTGTGTTGATAAATAACCAAGAAAAAATACGACAGATTATTAATAGTTATTGATAGCAAAATTTAGTAGAAACTAAAAGATCATTTATTTATCAATTAATTTCATTCATATTAATTGGCCATTAAGTTTTAGATCATTCATTCATTACATCACTTTTCAAATTACTTTGGCTATCAAAATCTAGGTATTACACACATTTTCGGAATTCTGATTCCATTGTGATATTACTGGCTATGATAATTTAAAAATGCAATAATATATATTTGTATTTAAAAATTAACAATTCAAGTTCATAAATGCTTATTGTACATTTTAATTTATTTTAATAATAATAATTCTAATTCTCTAACTTTATTGAGATACTCATAATATTTACGTATAATAATGAATACAAGTAATTATCACTCAAAATTATTAAAATACTATTTAGCACATTTTAAGCTAACTTATTTATGTAATTTAATTTTGTCAAATTGAAAAAATAAGCAATAACAAACATAATAAAAAATAAAAATATCCTTATATATATCTAGCTATTAAGACATATATATCTTTGTATTTAAGACTTATATTCTTTTTGAATAATAACTATGCATATAAAACTATTTTAAACTTAATACCAAATTGCCAATTTCTAAATTCGCAAAAAAAAATATAAATTGTATAGTTGGATTACTAATATATAAGTATTGAAATTTTTTTAAAATATATTTATATTCGTATCAAATAAATTAAAAAAATATTGATATAAATTAAAATAACTTATCTACGCCAAATGTTTCTATTGAATAGTATTATTATAATCTAACAATTAAAAAAAATCTAAATATATCAATCTTTTGTTATCCAGTAATTATATGCTCTTTCCCAATCAAAAATCTTACTTTCTGGCCCATTAAGTGCAATTAAAAGTAGCATGTACAGAGTAGAAATATTAAGTCGATTTCGAGATTTAGTTTTGATTAAATTTTGGTAAGAAAAAACTCTTTCAACTACAGTATTAGAAAGAGGTGTAATTAAAAAAATTGATGCAAGTTTTTTAATATTCAGAAATTGAGTAGAAAAATTAGGAAGATCAAAAAGTGCTTTCTATGTATAAATTGTTGTAGTAGTACAATAATTAAGTAATCGATACTTAAAAATATCTCATTCTTTAGTTAGTGAGTTATTATCAATAAGTGCCAGATATTCAATTTGATTAAGTTTTTTTGGTTTTCCATAAAATTTTGCTAAAGTACAAATCTCACTATTACCATAAGAATGAATTTGGTTATATTGCAGTAGTAATTCTTGTGGATCAAAAATTCTTAATGAAT